GATGGAGTGAAAGACAGGAAAGCCTATGTTCTGAAATGAGCAGTTTTCCCCGAGGCCTACTGTCATGTGCTCCAGGCGTCCTGCCTTCCTCCCCCTCGCTCTCGGGCCCCTGGGCTGTGAGTGCCCCCGCTGCCCCAGAGGCCTCGCTGCCCATCCACCTGGCCTGTAATGATTGTCCAAGCTGATGCGTGCCCTAGCTCACCTTGGTAGACGGAAATGGCCAGCCCTCTGCTGTCCGCTGAATACCAGCCAAGGAGGCAGGGGTTCACGTGAGCTGTTGGACTTCATGTCGCTGGCCATGGGGTCTGCTCTGCTCCCTCCTCTCCTCAGACACCGTTGTCTTCCAAGATCAGGTCATCCAGTCAGTCCTCACCTCTGTGGCCTCATGACAGGGGAAGTGAAATGGAGAGTCGATGTGGAGTTGGTGGGTGGCCTCAGCCTCCTGGTGGGGATAGCACTGGTGTCACATATGTGGGTATTGGGGATGGGGCCCCACAGGCCCAGAGGATGAGTGCTGTGGGTCCAGTGCAGGTCTGTCCCCATCCTTGGTCACCACAGGTCTGGTGCTGGCCTGCCTGCTTCTGTAGGGAACAGGAGCCCCGGGGCTGGCACAGGCCTGCCGCTCATGTCCTCAGTCATGTCAGGGAAGCAGAAGTTTATTTGGCTCACAGGTCTGGAGCTGGGGAGTCTGGGAGCACGGCACTGGTGTGTGACGAGAGCATCGGTGTCTTGTCATAATGTGGCAGAAAGGCAAGAAAGCACACGTGAGAGAGGTCCAGCTTATGGCAACCTTCTCACCAGGAACTCCGTGATAAGTAGACCCATGATGAGTAAGCCATCCCCCAAATCACAGTATCAATCTATTTATAAGGTCTAAAGTTCTTACATCTTTCAGCAGCAATTTAAGTTTAATATAAGTTTTAGTGGAAATACTCATATGATAGGGGCCAAAAAAAGAGATGATTCTAAATGAAGACATCTTGGAAATATAGCTTTTAGTCTATTGTGAAGACGATTATATAAAATTATAGGAAATGCTGCATGAACCAGAATATCTGTCGATGTCTAATAAACTGAAGCGCAGCTGCTAGATGTGGGCAGCGAGCGACAGGGCAGTGGTTAGTGTGGCAGTCCCAGGACCCTAGATTTATGTCCCGGCTCTGCAGTTTACCAGTGTGTGGTTCTTGGAAAAATTACAGAACTTCTCTGCTGTGGTACAGAAGTGACAAGGATCTGCTTAGCACAGAAGCGTGGGGGGCACAGAGCCCAGCGTAAGCAGGAGCTCTGCAAGGGCTCATTTCAATTACTGGAATTAGGCTGCACTGAGAATCAGAAGGACGACACAAGAGAGCATCATGCCCTGCTCTGTGCAGATAACATAAGTCATCTCTTCCACATTTTGGAAGACAGTTGCCTTTAACCATATGCAAATCTAAACTCTGAGGGATGAGAACTTAATTTCCTCTTCCAATAATTAAACTGGTAAGATGGTCTATAAAAAGTGGTAAAAATTAAACCTCATTGGAGGGAAAATTCTAAAAATAAATGTTTAGATGACCTACCTCAAAAACTATTAATTGTGTTACTAAAAATAAAGTTTAGGGGCTGGAGAGATGGCTCAGTAGAATAAGCACTTCCCTGGCAAGCTCAAGAGCCTGAGTTCAATCCCAGGTTCTGCCAAAATAAATAAATAAATAAATAAATAAATAAATAAATAAATAATAAAGTTTAGAGAAAGAATTATATTTAAAAAATCCTTGCCCATGGACTCAGTTGCCTCTTCATTGGGCCTCTTTCTGTGCAGTGCGTTGGGCTGTCGGGTGAGAGTGGGGAGCAGGCCAGGCGAGTCTCTAACATCACCCACTGCTGGTCCAAGGGTTGCAGTGTCCTAGGGATGTCTTCAAACACTATCGGACGCTAAGAACCTACACCAATGTGTCACCACATGGGAAGGAACCACCAGTTGCATATTAGATGACCATGTTTGGTTGCACATTTGGGTATATGCTGGGATTAAAGTTATCTTGGAGGCTCTAAAATGTGGCATGTAACATGCTGGCTAAAAGCAGAGACACCCTTTTGCCATTTTGCTTTGCTGGCTTTGCCCCTCTTTTGAGCATATCTATGCTCTGTGATAATTTAGTTTGAGAGCACACTCATGAAGTAGTAAAGTCCAGCCCTCTTTCAGCATGCACTTTGACCCCGTTAAAATGTACTCATAGAAGAAAGGCCTAGGTTCAGCTTCTGAGATGTAACTTGCTGTAACATCGTGCATCGCACAGAGCAAAAACAGAAAGCCAGAATTAAAAGACTCTGCTAGCCAAACAAGAGTAATTCATCATGACATGCCAGTTGCTGCCGTGCTGTCTCTCGGGTAGATAATTGTTCAAAAAGAAGGGGCTGGTGAATGAAGGCAGGAGACAGGAAAAGGAATGTTGTGGGACTGTCCTGCTTCAAGGTTGTATATGGTGAGATTTTTGGACTTACGTGTAAACATAAGAATTATATAATTCTTTATGCCTCTTTTAAAAAAAAAGGGTAATTCAATAGGACTTGGAGATTATAGTACCAAGCAGACATCATTCCGGGTAAAAGTGGATTCCTGTTGCCTTTTGAACTGATTTCTGACTTCTCGCTTTGGTGTTGTCAGGCCACACAGCTCCCGCTGACCTATCGCCTTCCTCGCGCTCCTTGGCCACTGGCCCAGCTGGCTCCAGGCCTCTGCTCACCCCACAGGCTTCTCCTCTACCCTTCCAGGCAGCTTAAGTGCCACGCTTTCCACCCTGGAGTGTCTGTGGCATTGACCGCAGCAGTCTCTACTCTGCAGAGCCACCACGACAGCCCCGCTTCTCTGCTGCTGGCTATTTGTGTTCCAAGGCCTGCTCTGGGCCTGGGATGGTGGGCAGGGGACCTCCTTGGAGCCAGGGCTTTGTGCAGAGCTGCAGAGTGACGTGGCTTTTGCACTCCCAGTACACCAGGCTTCTCCAGTGTGCTGTGAAGCAGGGAAAGCAGAGCAGTTAAGGACAGAAATCCATCTATGTTCGAGACACACCACCTCCAGAGCATGAGCAGGTGACAGGATTTAAATGAAAAAGAGGAAGACTGACCCTGTCTTAGAATACCTTCTGGTGGATTTCACAAGTTAGGATCACTGAACTGTATGAAGTTGTCTGTGTTTGGTTACCACTTATGCTAAATTGTTAAGAAAAAGTTACTTGACAATTTCTACAAGGACCTGTTTGGTTTTTTTTTCCTCCTCAGGGCCATTCCTGTGACTATTGTAATGCCACAGACCCTCAGAAGGCGCACCCCGCCTCCCACGCGATCGATGGCTCTGACCGTTGGTGGCAAAGCCCTCCTCTGTCCTCGGGCAAGGAGTTCAACAAAGTCAACCTCACCTTGGACCTGGGTCAGGTGAGTTTTGCTTTCCGGTGGAGTGGGAGCTCCACTTCGGGTCAATGTTCTGTGGTGATTTCTGATTTAACAGTTCTTTTGATAAGAAACAAATTTCAGATTTAATTTACTAATCATTGCCCGACAGTAGTTGACTACCTTAAAATAGGTAGAACAGTGCCTGTCACCATGCAGATCTCCATACTTGTCAATTAAATAAGGGTAAAAATAGTTGCAGATGGTTTTGTTGGCAAGGATTCAGTTTTTAAAAATTTAAGTCTTAGTAGTACATGTTTGCTGTACGTAGTGATTACACTCATTGTGTGAAGTTAGTAATATTTGTAACAATACATCTCAGTTCTTTTTTTTTTTTTTTGGTACTGGGAATCATTGAACTCAGGACCTCATGCCTGCTAGGCAGGCACGGTGCCACTGAGCTACATCCCTGGTCCCACATCTTAGTTTTTTTCTCTTCCCTTCATCTTCCCTTCTCTTCCTTCCCCTCCCTCAACTGTGGTTAACTACATAAGCAGAAAGCTATCATTGTAACCATTTTTAAGTTTACTGTCCAGGGGCATTAAATACATCAGCATTGTTCTGTAGCCATCCCCACCTCTAGAGTTCTATCTTTTTCTTTTTTCTTATTTTTATATTTTAGAGAAGGCTCTACAGGGTGTTCAGGGTCTCACTACTAGATCAGAGCCATAGTAATCTGCTTGTTTACAGTCTCCCAAGAGCTGGGATTACAGGAGCGAGTCACCACACCCAGTCTCAATTGCTGTCTCAGTGCACCCCGGGAGTAGGGCCAGGATGGCAGGACTAAGGATCAAACCCCTTGCCCCTGCGCCTGCTTGCAGGCACTTTAATCTGCTGAGTTGTTTGGCCAGCCCTATCTTTTTATCTTTCAAAAGTGAAACTCAGTATCCATTAGTCGCCAACCTTCTCTCTGACCAACCCTTGGCAACTACAGTTCTACTTCCTGTGATTCCTCTTTCTTGATTCCTCTAAGAATGTCACAGAAGTGGAATCATACCATACAGTGTTTCTTTTTGTGACTGATATTTTGCTTAGCCATAACAGCCTCAAAATTCATCCACCTTCATCACACCCCAAGAATTTCCTTCTTTTTAAAGGCTGAATAACTTTCTATTGTGTGCATAGACCGCATTTTTCATCCATCTATCCACTGACGGACCCTTGGGCTGCTTGCAACTTTTGGCTGCTATGAAGAGCACAGCAATGGGCATAGGTGTGGCCAAGATATTTCCATAGCATCTCTTTCCTGGAAATTTTGAGTCTATGAACCCAGACTACCAAAGCAGCAGGTTTTATGTGTAGGTCCCAGGCTCCCCTTGTGGGCTGTGATTTCAATCATAATCAGTTGTCAGAGACCATTCAGTACTGTTCTGGTCCACTTGGTTCTTCTGGTTCCTGGGTCTCCTCTTGGGCTCTACTAGCATTGCCTGTGGGAACAGATAGGACTTCTCCTGGGCCAGTGACATCCGGTGGGAGTAGGAGACACTGGGCCACTGGGCCAGGGGATGCTCCTCTGACCTACTGTCTGAAGTTGTTGGCCAGCTGGGGCTCCTGCTGGGACAGACTTTTGGGAGTTGAGGACACTTAGGTGGTATTAAAGTAAGAGGCTAGATGAAAGTGAAAAAGAAGAAGAGGCAAGGGCAGAGCCCTGAGGCTCACCAGCTTCAGGAAGTCAAGGAAGAGGGAAGGGGTCTGTGAAAGACTGGCATGGAGGGACAAATAAGGAGAAGGACAATTGAGAGTGTATGGAATTCTAACACCCCATGTCGTTGGGACAGTATCCCTGGGACAATATCCCCGGGATAATCAACCTAAGAACAGGAAGATTTGTTTTGACTCATTATATCCTATGAGCACTTGGCTTTGTCACTTTGGAGGAGTAGAGAGGTGGACATCAAAGCCTAGAGCATGTATAAGACCAAAGCTGCCCAGCTCTTGGTAGCTGGGAGGAGTGTGGAAAGGAGGCTGGGGTAGAGGAAGAGGGACAGGGAGTGGGAGGGGGAGGGAGAGGGAGAGGGACAGAGAGTGGGAGAGGGAGAGGGAGAGGGAGAAGAGACAGAGATAGGGAGACAGAGGGCTGCTGGGGTAACCATGTCTCCCTCGAAGGTACACCCCAGTGACTGTTGTCCTTCCACTGGCTCCACCTTTTAAAGGTTTCGCTGCATCCTAGGAGGGCCATCAGTTGCGGACAAAGCCTTCAATGTAAGAACCTTTGGGCTTTGGAGGACTTTAATACCCAAACCATAATGTAGCCAGAAGAAGAAATTCTATGTAAAACAGAGTGAGGTATGCAAACTCAATAATACAGAGAACTACATTTTAAGAAACAGGCAAAGGACCTACACAGTTTTTCCAAGAACATGCATAAATAACCAATCAGCATGTAGAAGATGCTGAACGTCTTTGGCCATCAGAGGAGTCCAAGTCAAAAGCACAGTGAGGTATCATTTTATGCTGAGCTGGGTATCTATGGTAAAGAAGGTAGTAACAGATAGGGAAGCCTGTGAAGAGATGGGGACATTCCTGTCTTGCTGGTGGAAATCTAAAACGGTTCAGCCACTTTGGAAAAATGGTTTGATAGTTCCTCAAGAAGCTGAACATCAGGGGCCAGGAAGATAGCTCAGTAAAATAATTGCTTGCCTGGCAAGTGCAGGGTCCTGAGTTCCATCCCTGGTACCGAAAAAAAAAAAAAAAAAAAGAAAAAAGAAAGAAAAAGAACAGAAAAGTTGAATATTGAATATCAAGTTACCATATGAGCCAGCAGTTGCGTATCAAAGACAAATGAAAACATATTATCCACAGAAAATTTTCTTTATCAATAAAAAAGAAATTGCAGCAGGGCTCACAAGGGCCAAAGAGTAGAAGCAGCTCAACTGTCTCTTAGTGGATAAATAGATAAATGAAACAGGTTTGTGCACGTGCAATGGAGTATAACCTGATAACAAAAAGGAACTGTGCAGCTGGACGCTGCGGCGCAGGTAAGCCTGGAAAGCATCATGCTCTGTGAGGGAAGCAAGTCAAACCCGATCCCATGTCATTGGTTTCCAATGACATACAATTCCGGTAATGTCCAGATAGGCAAATCTACAGAGAAATGGAACTTAGTGGCTACCTAGGGCTGAGAGGTTTTTAAAAAATTATTAATTAAGAATTTATTTATTTGGTACAGAGTCTCACTACGCAGCTCAGACTCGTAGTGATCCTCCTGTGTCAGCCTCCCCAGTGCTGGGATTACAGACATGTACCACGATGCCCAGTTTCAGTGGTTGGCATGGTGCGCCCTGGGTTCTGGGGCTGGCATGACATGTGGTATTGGGGATCAAACCCAGGTCCTTGCGCTTACCAGGCAGGTGCTTAGACCACTGAGCTATCTCCCCAGCCCCTGGGGCTGAGTTTTTGGGGGAACAGGAGAGTGTCTACCAATGGGTCTTCTATCTGAGTGAGAGGCAATGAAAGTGTTCTAAAGCTAATTGTAATGATAGTTGAACAACTCTGAGACTATACCAAAAACTATTGACTTGCATATTTCTGATGGATGAATTATACAGTGTGTGAATTATATCTGAATAAAACTGTTTAAAAAGGAAGTCATGAAAAGATAGAGTGTCAAGGAAAAAAATAAAATAAAAGAGAGAATAACCACGTCAAGTATGATGCTGCTCAGGTGACACAGGGCCCAAAGCTGACCAGAAGCTGACTTTTGGGTTTGCACATGGGAAGTCACCGGAGGCTTTGGTAAGGTAGAACAGACAGCCTGCCTCTGGGGAGACAAAGGGTAGAGTGAGGGGAACTGAAACGGCTAATGCACAGATCTGCTTTTGAAAAGTTTTCTTGGGGCCGGGGAGATGGCTCAGTAGAATAAGCATTTGCCTGGCAAACATAAGGGCCTGAGTTCAATCCCCGGTTCCGGAAAAAAAAAAAAAAAAAGAAGAAAAAAAAGAAAGAAAGAAAAGTTTTCTTGCAACAAGAAGAAAGGAAATGGAGAGGAGGGATTGGAAAGTCAGGTCAAAAGATTTATTTGGCAACATGCTTGGGTGTGGAAGGTGCCTCCAACAGAAAAGGAAGGCTGCTCCAGCTGACCCGGACGCACCACGTCTCCTGCTGGCCCTGCTCACGCTAGAACCAATCTAGTGCTGTGCTGAAGGCCTACTGTGCACTGGCTGTTGCTGTACAGAGTGAGCCACGTAAGAACTACTGCTTGAAAGAAAGCTCAAGGAGGAAGTGGACTCCGCAGGCTGGAAATGGAATAGTTTTGGGATTTCTTAGAATGAATGTGTTGTTTTCATTTTGGTTGGCATAGTTCTGGGACAGCAGGACTCTCAACCTCGTTAGTCCATATGTTGTGCTAAATTAGGCCTCTCCTGAGAACATTTCCACCTTCAGCCTGCTTCTGACTCACGGAGACCCTTCACGGGCCAAAAGACTCTACCGATCCCAATTTCAATTATGAGTTAGTCCAAGCCATTCAGTAGCTAACCGCTGTTCCCTATATTTTACCTATAATGATCAGAATTTACTCACTGTGTCATTTTTAACTGAGTTTCTGTAGTGAAGAGAATTTTGATTAATATTTTATTTTTATTAGTACATGTGTATAGTACGTAATGATTACATTCGTTGTGGGGAGTCGGCACCTGTACCTAACACATCTCAATCCTTTATCCCTCTTCCCTTCACCCCTCCCTGTTCTCTTCATCTCGTTTCTCTTCTCTTTGCAAAAGTTCTATTTTTATTTTTTCTTCTGTGTTCTCTTTTCTGAAATCCATTTTGTTTTCCTTGTCTTCCCTCCATTTCTTGTTTGCCTTCCTATTTGTAAAAGATCTCTCTACTTTCTTCTATCTACCCTTTATTTTGTTCTTTACTCATAATTTGGGTATCCCATATAAGAGAAACCATGTAATATTTAAATTTCTGTGTCTGATTTATTTCACTTACCATTATAGACTCAAGTGGCGCCCATTCACCTACAAATGCCTCAAGTTTAC